TTGTTTCGTTACTGTATAGAAACGCGACTGATTTCTGTTCATTGATTTTATATCCTGCAACTTTTCTGAATTCATGTATTAGTTCTAGCAGTTTTTTGGTGGTCTTTTGGGTTTTCCATGTAGACAGAGTACCACATCATCTGCGGAAAGTGCAAGTTTGACATCTTCTTTGCCAATTTAGATGCCTTTTATTTCATTTTATTGTCTAATTGCTGAGGCTAGGACTTAATCTATGTTTTCCTTTGCGTTAAGCAGTTGCATTACCAGGGCCATCTTGAAAAGGTTCAATCAGAAAATTCCAAGTTTTATTTGAGCTTTTTTCAGGCAAGAAATTCAGGGGTCTTATTTAACTTCACAACTTTAGGACTAGTGCAACTCTTAGTGTGTATTATGTGCTCAGTAAATACTTACTCAGTGAATTAGCCAGCCCCTTTGCCTGTGTTGTGCATTGATCCACTGATCAGTAGAAGACAAAACACACACAAATTCAAACAGTGAGAAACATTTCTCTGGAGGTCTTGTTTCTTTATACCATCCCATATGACAATGCCTTTTCATCCACTTGTCTTTTTCTCCCCTGGCAACTCAATTTCCCTCTCTGCCCCTTTCCTTTGTCCCACAGGCGAAAAAACTTGTCCCCCTGGCCACCAGGCAAGATGAGTCTTCCTGCTCCTCATAAGTGCTCATCTTGATGGACAGCCTCACAAACTAGGACAGTGGATCATGACAGTAAAAACATAGATCAGATTGTTCAGGAAGAGTGACTGTAATGAGGAAGCCATATCCACAATATCTTTACTTATCCTTCACCAAAATTTTGTTTTCTTATTTTTCTCTCTTCATTAAGGGAAGACTACAGGAGGATAATGTAGAAAAATGAACAAATTGTGTGCTTAAATTAGAAAAACAATTGTTTCAGTACTATATCAGGTTCTGAGAAGTTCTAAGACCAAAAATTATGACACCTAAGTTTTAGGCAAAGTAATTGGCAGGAAACACAGTCTTTTTTCAATAGGGCTAATTCTAATAAAGTCAGAGAGAGTACTGTCAACATGCCAAGAAGAAAATCAGGTTAAAATTAACTGTTCGAGTCCTTTTGTTTCTAGCATCTATTTTCCATCTCTATATATTCTACTGGCACTGTCAGCACGAGAGACCCCACACCCAGCTACCCACAGATTATCTAGTAACCTGATCCGGCAAATACACAGGGCAAGAATGGAGAAGAGAAAAATCTGTTTACCTTAAAAAGAGATCTTCCAAATTCATTAACATCTCATACAGTGCTCGCCATTTCATTTGTGCCCACATAACCTTATTCCTAGGCTCTAAAATGTTTCAGAGTCAGATGGCTATAGCACTTCCACAAATGGCGGGGGATGGGGAAGGGTACACATTTCAAATACAGAAGAGTACTGGTGCCAAAGGTCACATGGAGAAAGAAATGAATCTTTGCTAGCTGATCTCTGCTCACATCAGAGATCACCCCCCAAACGGGGGAGAAGAAAAACGGTCTTACAGGTTTATATACAGGCAAATAAAGGAGATGAGATTTTGCAAAGGTAAAAATGTTTTTAGAAGCACAAGAAGGCCCGTGATTAGCTGATAACCATTTAAAGGCATGTGTAAAGTTTACCTGAAAATGGATGGTATGCTTCTGCTTTTCCATTGGTGAATTTACCAAGGTACCAAACTTAAATTTAAAAGGTGTCACGGGAGAAGGAACAAAGGAACAAACAAAGCCAGAGAGGTTGGGCTGATCTGGTAACAAGCTACCCATCAAATGCGAGTTAGGAATTGCCACAGTAGAGAACGTATGGTACTTTCAAGACCAGGTCTATACCCAGATTGTGCTGAATTTCAGATTCTGCTTCTAGATGGAAAGGCAAAAAAACCCACAAAGATTTCCAGACCTTGGGTGTTTAAAGGGCCTTCACACAGTAAATCAACCTACTCCTGTCTTGTTTTCTCCGCAGCCAGACTGAAATAATACAGCACCAGCAGAGGTGTGAATTACCCCCATTCATCTTAATGGAGTGTTAACTTCAAAGGCTTGTTTTAACCATTTAAATGCTAAGCTCATGAGTAAACATTCGGTTAAAAAAAAGGTACAATTTAAACATTCACCTTCAACATACGAAAGTAATTTATATTCTCAGCACTTCGTTTTTTAATTTAGCAAACAAGTCTCCAAGTGTTAGAAAAGTATATATTTTGTACTTTACTTAGTTTTATTTTAAATAGTTCTTACCTAATAAATTATGAACGTTAAGCCCATAATGCGAGGGCCTATATTTCCCAGGAATAATGTTGCGGAGTACTTGAACAAGGGTTTTTGGTAATCCTAGTGAAGGGGACACTGCTCTTACCTGCCATCTTATTAGCTTCCTCCACACTCATAGAGAAAGCTGTGACCCCCGAAGAGGCAACCAGATAAGGCAGAATACTGAAGTAAAATAAAAGAAAAACACTTCCACAAATATTATCTCTTGATATTAACTAAGTTTTATGTTCAATATGTTACTTGTCCCTTTGCCAAACCTCTCATGATCCTATCCCATGAGCAGGTGACAAATGTATTAACTGATGCCCAGCTGTCATCACATTTAACATTTGCCCCACAGGGCATCCTTGCATCTGTTGCAGATTTAGTGTTATTTTGGTATTACTGGAATTAGATTTATGTAAGCAGCTGAACACCTATTTGTGTTTGGATCTATAATTTCATAAACAGAAAAGGAGGGTACAAGAATTAGCTTATCAGATTGGTAGGCTCTGGCTGACCTGAAGCCACAGGGGAAGCCATGCCTGGCTGTGCCCCTGGGACCGTGCTAAGTGCCCAGCTTCAGGAAGACATTAGTAGGAGAGCACAGCTGGGGCAGAACTGTGGCAAAACATGAAAAAGAGTGCACATGGAGCCAGTTCCCCTGTGAATGAAGGCTAGAGAAAGATTCTAAACATATTAGTTGTACAAGATGGAAGACGAAGAAATTCCCTGTCTCTGATTGAAAGCAAACTTATTTTACTGGTCCAGATGAAGGGATGGGGGAAAGGGGATAAGTATCTGATCTAAGAGCCTGTTTTGGTCTGCACCTAATTTATACAGGGTGATTTAATCCTCTCAACACAACCCTGTATAATTGGTATTAACTCCATTTAATACCTATATGAAAGTGGAGGCTTGGAGAGGTTAAGTACTTTGTCTAAACTCACTGAGATTTGAATCTAAGTCTTTCTAACCCTCAAACTTAGACTTTTTCCATTATACTATGCTGATCCAAAGTTGCCAAAGAAGTATCTTAACTCAAAAGGGAAGCTCAGTTGTCAATTTTTCTGCCCATTTCCTAAGTAGGAAGCAAAGGGGCACCTGCAAAAGTGTGTATTTCCATTCATGCAAATTGGTGCTTTGCATGCAATGCCCTACTTTACATGTGCACAGGGGTAGCATTACATTTTCACCGATACACCCTGGCTTTGGTAGGCTGCTAACAAGGTGCCTTTCACAAAGAGCACTCGTGGGGAGAAGAGATCTAGCTTGTGCTTTCCAACCAAAAGTAAGCCACATCAATGGGAAACAATGATTTATAACCTCTGTACAAAACTTGATATAAATCGTCACTATTTGTCTCTGTTTGCCAACTAGAAAGTCACGTGTTTAAGTGACAAAAGAGAACGCTCAGAGAACTTCCAAATCCACAGTCAATCATCACAGCTCTATGTCATAATGAACAACAGGAAAATCACAAAAGTTTCTTAGAGAAGATTGGGAGGCAGGGCAAAATACCAAATGAAATAATCCCACAGTTTTGTTATTAGTGATTGATGTTGACAACATTAACCCACAGCTAAGATTCAATTTTGTATATAAAGCCAATACACTGATTTCTTAAAAAACAAACAAATGAAAGGTTGACTCTATACATTTAATAACACTAAAAACTTCTGCCTGTGATAAACACTGTTAAGAGAACGAGAAGGCAAGCCACCGATTGGGAGAGAATTTTTGCAAAACACATTATCTGATAAAGGACTGGTATCTAAAATATACAAAGAATGCTTAAAAGCCAACAGTGAGAAAATAAACCAATTTAAAAAATGGGCAAAAGATCCAAACCTCACCCAAGAAAATATACAGATGGCAAATAAGCATATGAAAAGATGCTCCACATCATATGTCATTAGAGAAATGCAAATTGAAACAATGAGATATAACTACACACCCATTAGAATGGCAAAAATCCAAACCACTGACAACACCAAATGTTGGCGAGAATATGGAACAACAGGAACTCTCATTCACTGCTGTCAGAAATGTAATCTATTACAGCTAGTTTGGAAGGCAGTTTGGCAGTTTCTTATAAGACTAAACATATTTTTACCGTATGATGCAGCAATTGTGCTCTTTGGTATTAACCCAAAAAAGCTGAAACTTATATCCACACAAAAACCTGTACACACTTTATTCATAACTTTGAAAGCCAGGAAGAGGTCCTTCAACAGGTGAATGAAAACACAAACTGGCCCATCCATACAGTGGAATATTATTCAATAATAAAAAGAAATGAGCTATATGAAAATGCATGGAGGAAACTTAACTGCATTTTGTTTAAGTGAAAGGGCCAGCCTGAAAGGTTAGATAATATATAATTCCAACTATATGACATCCTAGAAAAGGCTCACAGGGAAAGGCTCACAGTTTTTATGAAGTCAGTCAAAAGATCAGTGGTTGCCAATGCTTGCATCAACAGTGAACTCTCAGGCAAACTATGTACTTTAGTAAATAATACTGTATCAAGGGGTAGCCGGGTGGCTCAGTCGGTTAAGTGTCTGACTCTCGATGTTGGCTCAGGTCATGATCTCCTGGTTTGTGAGTTCCAGCTCCGTGTCAGGCTCTGTGCTGCCAGTGCGGAGCCTGCTTGATATTCTTTCTCTCTCTCTCTCTCTCTGCTCCTCCCTTGTTCATGTTCTCGCTCTCTCTCAAAATCAACAGACTTAAAAAATGTTTTACAAGTACTGTATCAATATTGGCTCATCAAGTATAACAAATGCACCACATGAATGCAAGATTTCAACAATATGGGAAACTATGGGCGTGTTGGGGATCAGGGGATATATGAGAACTCTGTACCTTCTGCTCAATGTTTCTGTAAACATTAAATCTACCCTAAAAAATAAAGTCTATTAATTTTTAAAAAAATACAAAGGTTAACCTAACATATCAAAGAACATTTTGAATTTTATGTTAATTAAAACTGCTATAAATCCACTTTCTGCTACCTATTCCCATTTTGTTCTGCTTTTCTGTTAATAATGTTTATAAAAATGTTTACCCATATAAAAAGGATTCATCAAAGGTGCTTTACAGAATTATTCCTTTTTGCATATAGAGGTAAATTATTCTTTGTAAGAAGTGGGAAAATATTTGTTTCATTTACTAATCCAATTAAAAATGATTATTGCTAAACTAAAATTCCCAACCAAAATTCCAAAGATGAGCAAAACAAAAGCCTGTGGGGAAAAAAAAGATAAAGAACAATTAGAGTATTTTAAACCTCCACCTTCCTCAATAATGTATGTTATAGTTCAAAATACATGAACTTTCTTGATGTAGATAAACTACTCAAGTACAAAATGACAAATTATTTCTTAAAATAGAATTATTAAAAGAAATAAAAGGTAACCTACCCCAAGTTTTTTCCATGAGAGAAAATCCTCTCTGCTAAGTTTAAGATAAAATAGTCCTGGGAATATAAAAATCAAACACGTTGATGTACTGGAACCTTTAAGTGGGAGGGGAAACAAGGAAAAAAAAAAAAAAAAAAGAGGATATTGCCAGATTCAGATGCGGGGCCAGATGACAATTTTGATCTATTTTGTTACATGGATTTTTTGAAATAGAAAACTTACCAACCACACCAAATATATTCCTAATGTCAGGAACATATATTGCAAGTAAAACAATGGTAACATTGAGTGCTAGAGTGATCAAAGAATGGCGAGTCCATGAGAATGGAAAATTGGAGAAAAACATCATCATTAAAGCTCTTCTTGCCTGTATAACAGAAAAAGAAACAGATTTAAGCAGAGAGATTTAAGCAAAGCCAACATACTTGCTTAGGGAAACACAGGTACAGTATAGTAAGCATGACATCCTTGCTCCCTACACCATTTAGATTTTTAAAAAATACAGTATAAACGATTATTATAAAGTGTTTAGGACAAATCAACTAAGAAATTCACCTTTCTGAGTGAGCTTAATAAAAATTATTTTGGCCTGGGTGGCTCAGTCGATTAAGCGGCCGACTTCAGCTCAGGTCACGATCTCGAGGTCCGTGAGTTTGAGCCTTGCGTCGGGCTCTGGGCTGATGGCTCAGAGCCTGGAGCCTGTTTCAGATTCTGTGTCTCCCTCTCTCTCTGCCCCTCCCCCGTTCATGCTCTGTCTCTCTCTGTCTCAAAAATAAATAAAACGTTAAAAAAAAAATTAAAAAAAAATTATTTTGCTTTAATTCTTGAAGAAATGTTCACATTCAATGTCTTTAGGTTGCATAATTTTCAAAATGACCAACGATAACACTGTGTGATGAAATCTCAGAGAATCATTTTCATCAAATTCACAGAGAGAAGAACAAAAGGTTTGAAAAGAAAAAAGACTCATGCTATGGTAAAGAAACACCATGTACTATTTTATTTTATATTATCTGTTTCATAGCATGTAAATATGAAAACTAGTTCATGACACTTCCCACTGCCAAGGCGAGCAGCAGGCAGTCATACCCCACAAATGTTTACCCCCCACCGCTGCCCTCCTGGCTGTGCAGTCTACACAGGAAGTGGGCCAAAAATCTTGAAGGCCCAGTTCTTCGGGAACTTGCTGTTGAGGGATTCAAGACATTCATGCAGAAACATTCATACCTCAAGCCTCTGTTTCCATTTTCTCAGAAATTCTTAAGATACTTACATATGGCAACTAAATACAGAATGAAGATCTGCTCTGCCCCTTAATTATAATTCTTAAGCAAATACAATATTTTGACTAAGATTAAATTAGAATGTCTATGTGAAAATAAATCTACAATAAACCAGAACGAGCTTATTTTTGCTGACTTGACTTTTGCTTCTTCATGCACATTCTTGTGAAAACAGAATACAGAATTAAAGGAGGGGGGGAAACCCCAAACTTTAGAAGAACCATAGTCTCTAAATTGGAAACAATGCTGTGGGAGAGCGTAAATCTAAACTAAATCTCAAAAAGCACAAATTAGCTTAGTGGTTCACTGTTATTTTTGTGCCTTCATGGGGCCATATGCAAGTATGAGGTCTTTGATCAATTACCTGACAAATGAATAAGATATACAAGACTAGATGTGATTCAAACATTCCAGTCTGCAAAGAATTAGCGTTGCCATATCAGGGAGCTGCTACATGAAGCAACAAGACCTTTAAGAGTACTTACAGGGAAGTGGATTAGAGGGACTGTCAAAAGTACAGCAAATAGTATGCATAGCTTCACAGCCATGACAACAACATCATGTGGCAAGTACTTGCTATAACCTTGCAGTAATTCTGATGCCACTTTGTCTGTAAATTAAAACAATAATAAGGATCACATTATAAACTACTATGATGTCAATAACAGCAAAACTATTTTACTTTGCACAAATGGATCTTAACAAATTTTGGATTCTCAGTACCAAATCCATCTCTGGCCTTTTCCCTGGCCTTTGAAACATAGAGACATTAGTTAAATATCTGCTTTAAAGGTATAATCTTTTCTTTTAATTAAACTAGAAATCAGCAGAACTTCTAAAATTATGACCATGAAAATACATATATACGTATACATATCTATATATATCTATATATATACATATAACTTGAGAACTTTTCCATAATCCAAAGGTCTTGAACATTTGTTTGTTTTGTAAGGTGTTTTCACATGTATCATTGAAAGGGTATCATGTGTACCCTTATAACAATTAAGAGGGTAGCTAGGCTGAAAAATATTAATGGACTTGCCCAAGATCACACAGCACAAAGGGGCAGAGCTCGAAGAGCTAAAAGAGTACCCACTTTTTTTTTTGGTGCCAAAGCCAATACCCTTTCCTCAATACCGCAACATTTTCTAGAATCTTACACTTCTGTACATGTTGTCTGTTTCATCAACATTTCACCTGTAAATTCCTCTTTCATAAGAAAATGTAGTTGTAGGGAAATGGCTTACTCAGCAAGCCAGTGGTAGTCAGTGACAGAATTTGTACATGCTGACCATGCTTTGCTCCATGTCAGTCTTCCATTTTCCCAATGTCTTCTGCGCCCCCAGTCAGACGAGGGGTACGAAGATTGAGCGTTCTCAAGAATGTTCCATGTCCTGCCTTGTAGTGAAAGATCAGTCTGTACTTAAAATAGAATACTGTTGGGGCGCCTGGGTGGCACAGTCGGTTAAGCGTCCGACTTCAGCCAGGTCACGATCTCGCGGTCCGTGAGTTCGAGCCCCGCGTCAGGCTCTGGGCTGATGGCTCAGAGCCTGGAGCCTGTTTCTGATTCTGTGTCTCCCTCTCTCTCTGCCCCTCCCCCGTTCATGCTCTGTCTCTCTCTGTCCCAAAAATAAATAAACGTTGAAAAAATAAAAATAAAAAAAAATAAAATAGAATACTTTCTTTTATTTTTAAGTAGGCTTCACGCCCAGTGTGGAGCCCTATGCGGAGCTTGAACTCATGACCCTGAGATCAAGACCTGAACTTAGATCAAGAGTTGGGTTCTTAACCAACTGAGCCACTCGGGTGCCCCAAAATAGACGGTGCTTTTTAAACTGGAGAGTAATATGTTTTCAGAGAGATGCTTTGGAGGAAATAAAAAACAAACACACCTCTGTTTTCAAGGAACTTAATATTTAAAGGAGCAATGAGATGAACATATACACATAAAATAGAAAGCGTATAAACACAGATATACACGTACGTGGCAGTAGTTGTTCTAAACAAAGAGCGATTGTGAATAGGGACAGGTAACTATGACTTTGATATGGAGGAAGGAGGAAACACAGGGAGGCTTGGGGAGAGTCATCATGATATAGTGAAGAGCAGGAAGGTAGAGGGTCTTGAATTCTGGGACCACACAGACTGATGTTCAAATTCCTCTACTTACTAGCAACCTAACTTCTCTGAGTCTCTTCGTTCTTACATCTGTAAAATGGGACACTAATATTTTGATGTGTGGAGTTACTGAGGGCCATAAATGAATTAATGTATGGGTGGAGAAAGAGATTCTTTCTCAGAGGAAGAAGTAACATAAGCAGAAGCCCTGAAGTAGCACAAAGAATATGCATCTGAGAAAATGAGCAGTCTAGTAGTAGTAAGTACTTACAGTGGCTTAAACAGGATGTGCTGTAGAGCAGAGAGAGTATTGGGTGATAAGGCCAGAAATGCATTTAAGACCCAGTAACAGAGCTGTTCAGGAGGTTTGTACTCAATCTGGTGGGCTACAGAGATGCAATGACTTATGAAGATTGGTGTACTAGGATCTGAACTAAGCAGGAAGAAAAAGATACCCAAAACTGAAATAAGAGTTAGAAGGTTACTGTCATACTCACTGAGAGATAATGAGAATCTGAACTAGACTAGTGATAATGGAAAAGGGAGAAAAACCAATTATCTAACGTATCAAAGAACTTCTTTACACAATAGGAGATTAATGGACTAAGTAAGAGATTAAGAAGAGCCAGTAGGGGCGCCTGGGTGGCGCAGTCGGTTAAGCGTCCGACTTCAGCCAGGTCACAATCTCACGGTCCGTGAGTTCGAGCCCCGCGTCGGGCTCTGGGCTGATGGCTCAGAGCCTGGAGCCTGTTTCTGATTCTGTGTCTCCCTCTCTCTCTGCCCCTCCCCCGTTCATGCTCTGTCTCTCTCTGTCCCAAAAATAAATAAACGTTGAAAAAAAAAAATTTTTTTTTAAAAATAAAAAAAAAAAAGAAGAGCCAGGAAAGCCGGATTCTATTTCCAAGTCTGAGATATTCGCAAGTCTTTGAAAAAATATGGCAAACTATTTTCTTTCTACTTTTTGAATCATGAAAATGAGCTATTAACACTGCTTAACAATTCTGTAGACTTTTAAAATGGTCTGGTTATTATGTGACATTTGGGCATTGGCCTGGCTCCCCAGAGGAACACTTTTTCTTCCTCACCTTATAATGCTGTAACGTCTGTAAAGAGCCAATATTATTAATCTAGGTACATACTTATAGGTCCCTGTAATCTGACCAAATTTAGATATTAACTAAGCCTTGGGAGCACTGGATAAAAGGATCCCAAGCAGCTCCAGAAGTCAGAAGAGCTAGATTATAAATTCAAAATATCTGTTACATATCCACTTTCTCCTTTCCCAGGATGAAAACATTTCTTCCGAACCAGTCAATTCTGTGTTCTTAGCTGAGCCTTAACATATGTGAGGGATAGAGTACAACACACTTCTCTGAATTCAGACAAATCTCTATAAATCTTAGTAAGGACCTCTGCAAGTTATATATGCTATTAAGCCAGGAGGCTGTCTTGTGTAATACACATTGTCAAACCATCTGAAGTTTAGAAAGATTACCACAGAGTAGCAGAAAGATTACTAGATTAGTATTCAGGAGACATGCTACTACAAATATTGTTAACAGGTCACTTCACTTCTTTGGGCTTCAGCTGCTCATTTACAAAATGAGTTCAAGGCCTTAATTTGTGACTAGCCCTTTTGATAATTGCTCAGTGATTTCTCTCCATAAGAATGAGAGTTACCGATATCTCAACAGAAATATACCAAAAAAGATGCTCCTTAGTGATGATTAACAGCCCCCCAAAAGCTATTGTGAACAGAAAAATCAATATCTGAATCTTCTTTGGTCTTTGGAGAAGGAGTTACTTTTATATCATTCTTTCTATCACCTACCTACAATGAGATTTTTCTTAGATGTGCATTTCTCCATTAGATAAAATGTGGACAGTCTGAAGAATTTGCGGTGCATTAAGTCGGAGACAACATAACAGCTTTACCTGATAACAAGGACAATCCCTGTGTAGGAAATATTTCATTTACATAATGAAAATGTTTCGCCTCTCTGTTCATGGAACAATAGATCAGTAGATAGGTAGGTAAGTAGACAGAGATATATAGATATGTCTGGAGCTTAAGTGAGCCAGGTTCTTCCAAAAGATAATCGACAAAAACTTGGGATGAAGGAAATCTGGGTTCTCTAGCATAATTCCTGAGGAGGGCACATAGTAATAAAAGCACTACCTTTGGAGACAGTCAGAATTGGATTCAAATCCCAACGCACCATTCATTAGCTGCAAGTATCTGGCCAATTGCTCAAGCTATGTGAACCTATACCTTGTAGAGTTGCTGTAAGGATTAAGGTAAGCAATGTATATAAGATACCTGGCATTTACACAGGAAACGTTAGCTCAATAAATGTATTAGCATCCATCCTTCTTCCACTTTCCCTTCAATGTAAGCTTTCTGATAATTTAATACAGCATTTCATGGCAATTTATAGAACTATTCCTCAGCTATCCTGGAGATTGGCAGGCCATTTGAGGCTTCTTCCAGATAACTATCCCTAAGGAGGAAAAGGAGGTCATTTTTTGGACTCTTTCTCAATGTTGAAGATTCCTAAATATAGTAGTATTTGCGCCAGTGACAATTTTAATTTAGAAAAATACACAGCTAATCTGCTATACTAAGTTTTTGCTCAATCTCAACAGAGAGCTTGCTACAGTATCTTATTATTCTAGAGAAGTCTTACTGGGCTCAAGTCTGTGCAAAAACTTACAAACCCAACAACCAAAGCCAGAGCTTATATAGTTCAAGAATTTTGTTTTATGAGCCATGATCAAAAAAGCTTATCCATCTGCCTTAATTTTCTTTGTAGTGTATCCAGCAGGGTGTCATACTCGTGTTGGAGATGATGCTTTTCCTGATGGTGTACACAGAGCTCTACCATTTTTATCCTCCATCAATATAAAATGCAAGAGCAGATTTAGATTAATGAATGGCCTTTCTTACTGTTAAAACAGCACAGAGATAGCAGGAAAGGGACTAGAGAACAATTATAATTTTCTCATATAATTCAAGAGCATACACATTATACTATTAAGTTACGATATTTAACTTAAATTTCATTAAAGATAGTGAGAAGTACAGTGCTGAAAAACTGAGCACCTGAAATTATAAAATGACTATAACAATAATGACAATAATAATAACAGTAACGATCAGCAGTAGCTCTCCTTTGTGGAAGGCTGCTATGTGCCGGATACTATAATAGGCATTTTAGACATAACTCATTTCCTCCTCAATAAAACTCTATGCAATTTTCTGTTACAGATTAGAAGATGAAAAGATTACAAGGTGAGTGTCCTGTTCAAGCTAGTTAGAGCAGAATAGTTATTTGTACCATATTTGTTGGATTTCAAAATCCATACTCTTTCCACTGGGATTAGGAAAGGTAGCTGGTTTAGTAAAGGTAGCTGTGCAAGTAAACATCCAAAAACTTGTCAGACTTGGAAAAACTCTGGGAGAGAAGCAAAGTGCCATTAGAAGTAATCATGGATGTCTAAAACCTGAAACATGTGCACAAGGCTATCAACCATAAAATCAGTCATAACAGCTAAATATCACCAGGGTAATAACAGCCATTTACTTGAAGAGCTGTTATAAAAGCACTCATAAGCTGAAAAGTGTATTCCAGAATTGACAAATTGAGTGCAATTTGTTATAATGGGTTTGTTTGCAAATTAAATAGGTTTCCAGATTAAACAAAAGAGCCTACAATTTTTTTTCTTACTCTGGACTTTTAAGTTTTACTTTTTCTTTAGGTTCTTTTTAGAACAGAAAAAAACACATTCCAAGCAGACAATTTTTCAAAAATAAATAAAAATTTACTTAATTTTTTTAAATTTAAGAATTTAAAAGAATCCTTTTACCAAATTTAAGGGGGGGAAAGGTATCATAGAACGTACAATGCCAAATTGTGCAAATTAAGTGTGAAGGCAAAGATCTCTGAGATCTAAGTGTACAACTACAGTCCAGTGTAAAACTCTTCCCTTTCTCAAGTTGTTCTTTTGCAATAAAGATGACTGATTCTCCCAACCTCCCAAACTAGATTCCAAAATATTGAATTCTTAGAAAATAAAATCATGATTGCACATTTGTTTCTTGTAGAAAGACAGCAATGTCCCTAGGCCTTTGGCTTTACTTCGGTGTTAAAATTTTTTTTATATGAAGTTATTATTAATCTTGAAGTTGATCCATATTTTTAAGAGAAAGAAAATCAATTTTTTTAAGGCCCATAAAGCTACTACAGTACTACACTGAATTTAGCAGCCTAAATTAACTTACTAACAAAAGGCGGAAACAAAGTCTATATTCAGGTGTGAGATCAACTAGAGAACAATTTGTCACTGATAATTAAATAATATACTTACCATAAAACGTGAGGTACCCAAAGAGTGCAGATATAAAATAAATGAGAAAACTTAAAGCAATTGCTGTATTGGTTGCATTTTGCATTCTTTTCTTTGAAGGGCTAAAAGACAAAAATGGCAAAAGTAGAAACTATGATCTGAATTATATCTAAAGAAACAAATATCAACCAAGCTAGTCAAGAGGATTCCTTAATTGTTCAAGAACTACTTCATTAATAACGATATACTAGAATTTTTGATTTGAAATTACTGCACAAAGATTTTGCTCCCAGGAAACATTTTTTTTTTCCTTTTTTCAATTTTTAATTTATTTTTTTAATTTACATCCAAATTAGTTAGCATATAGTGCAACAATGATTTCAGGAGTAGATTCCTTAATGCCCCTTACCCATTTATCCCATCCCCCCCCTCCCACATCCCTGCCAGTAACCCTCTGTTTGTTCTCCATATTTAAGAGTCTCTTATGTTTTTGTTCCCTTCCCTGTTATTATACAATTTTTGCTTCCCTTCCATTATGTTCATCTGTTTTGTATCTTAAAGTCCTCATATGAGTGAAGTCATATGACATTTGTCTTTCTCTGACTAATTTCGCTTAGCATAATACCCTCCAGTTCCATCCACATAGTTGCAAATGGAAAGATTTCATTCTTTTCGATTGCCCAGTAATACTCCATTGTGTGTGTGTATGTATGTATATGTATGTATATATATATATATATACATATATATATATATATATATATATACCACATCTTCTTTATCCATTCATCCATCGATGGACATTTGGGCTGTTTCCATACTTTGGCTATTGTTGATAGTGCTACCAAAAACATTGGGGTGAAATGTGCCCCTTCGAAACAGCATACCTGTATCCCTTGGATAAATACCTAGTAATGCAATTGCTGGGTTGTAAGGTAGTTCTATTTTTCATTTTTTGAGGAACTTCCATAATGTTTTCCGGAGTGGCTGCATCAGCTTGCATTCCTACCAGCAATGCAAAAGAGATCCTCTTTCGCCACATCCTTGCCAACATCTGTTGTTGCCTGAGTTGTTAATGTTAGCCATTCTGACAGGTGTAAAGTGGTATCTCATTGTGGTTTTGATTTGTATTTGCCTGATGATGAGTGATGTTGAGCATTTTTTCATGTGTCGGTTGGCCATCTGGATGTCTTCTTTGGAGAAGTGTCTATTCATGTCTTTTGCCCATTTCTTCACTGGATTATTTGTTTTTTGGGTGTTGAGTTTGATAAGTTCTTTACAGATTTTGGGCACTAACAGTTTATCTGATATGTCATTTGCAAATGTCTTCTCCCATCCTGTCAGTTGCCTTTTAGTTTTGCTGATTGTTTCCTTCACTGTGCAGAAGCTTTTTATTTTGATGAAGTCCCAATAGTTCATTTTTGCTTGTGTTTCCCTTGCCTCCGGAGACATGTTGAGTAAGAAGCTGCTGTGGCTGAGGTGAAAGAGGCTTTTGCCTGCTTTCTCCTCAAGCATTTTGATGGCTTCCTGTCTTACATTTAGGTCTTTCATCCATTTTGGGTTTATTATTGTGTATGGTGTAAGAAAGTGGTCCAAGTTCATTTTTCTGCATGTTGCTGTCCAGTTTTTCCAGCATCACTTGCTGAAGAGACTGTCTTTATTCCATTGAATATTCTTTCCTGCTTTGTCAAAGATCAGTTGGCCATACATTTGTGCGTCCACTTCTGGGTTGTCCTTGTGCCAGTGCCATACTGTCTTGATGATTACAGTTTTGTGATACAGCTTGAAGTCAGGAAACATTCTTCAGTAGGACCAAACTAACTCTTTGTTGTTTTGTTTTAAACAAACACCTGACTAGCTTAGTCAGTACTTCATGTGACTCTGGATCTCAGGGTTGTGAGTTCAAGCCCCACGTTGAGTGTGGAGATTACTTAAAAAGAGGGGTGCCTGGGTGACTCAGTTGGTGAAGCAGCCGACTCTTTATCTCAGCTCAGGTCATAATCTCACAGTTCATGGGATCAAGCCCTACATCAGGCTCTGTGCAGACAGCATGGAGCCTGCTTCGGATTCTCTCTCTTCCCCTCCCCTGCTGGTTATCTCTCTCTTTCAAAATAAATAAACTTTTAAAGAAAAGAAAATAAAGTCTTGGGGCACCTGGGTGGCTCAGTCGGTTAAGCGTCCGACTTCGGCTCAGGTCATGATCTCAGGTCTGTGAGTTCGAGCCCCGCATCAGGCTCTGTGCTGACAGCTCAGAGCCTGGAGCCTTCTGTGTCTCCCTCTCTCTCTGACCCTCCCCCGTTCATGCTCTGTCTCTCTCTGTCTCAAAAATAAATAAACGTTAAAAAAAATTTTTAGAAAATAAAATAAAGTCTTAAAAAAAACAAAAAAAACTAACGCTGAGAATCCAGCGATGAGAGAGAAGGATTCATAAAGGAGAATGTCATTCAATCTGAAAGTCCAAAAAGTAAAAAGAAATACTTAATACATTTAAAAGATTCCAGAATTCTATGGTACCTTTGAAGTTCACAGTATATGGGCAATATTGAGGTATGGCAGAGAAATGAAAAAGCCATGGTAGGTATGGCATAAGCACTCTGAAAAAGAATTTAAAAAGATCAAATTAGTAAATGCCACTGTTTAAACCACTACTTCATTTGACAATAAACTCAGGTCTCCAAAAAAAATCAAATTGGTTCAATTTACTTCATCTTTCATGAATCATCTCTTAAAAAAGGATGTTTTGTGTTTTTGTTTGTTGTTTTTTAAAGAGAGACACAAGTATGGTCACCAACAAATGTTTCACTTAATAGTTAGACAGCCTGTGCTAGCCAGAAAAATTCTTGGCTGGCTTCTATACCACGGTTGGCACACCACCAACTGAATCGAATGGAATACTGAAAATATTAATCCCATCTTTGCATTTTAACTAGGGTCTCTTTCATTGGGAATGAACATGATATATTCTAGACTGACAAATTCTTAAAGATCCATTGGAATATACAAACATAATTGTTTTGTTTTGTTTTTTTAAATTAGAACACTTAAGAGTCTGAGGAAGTTATAAAGCAAACAAATTACCATCTAAATGAAAATGCCATCTTTATAAAATTAATGGCGATTTACTTTTTCTTTTCTACTTTAAAATTTTTTCTAACTTTAGGCTCTTCAGCAAGCGTTCCAGATGACTGAAGAACTATCTTGGTATATAATGCCTCCTAAAATACCTGAAGGGAGCTAGGAAGGAGAGCTGTAGCATTTCCTGAGCTTGGATTAGGGGAATGAGAGTTTAATTCACAAAATCTCTTTCATATATTGCTCAGTTTTCTGGTTTGTCAATTACCCTACCTGGATCTTTAAGGCAGATGGCCTTTAACATGTAAAGGATGTAGTAATCTCCTTTGTGGAGCCAGAGAGACATTTTTTCATAGAAAAACTAGGGATTAAAAAGAAAATTCTGCATGGAGCAGTTAGCACACCAACATGCTTCACTGATAAGAGTTGTTTAAGAGTGGAGGGGATTCTAGTACCTGGGACTTGGATTTCAACATAATACAAAAATGTAGATGAAGAAACGTGCAGCAACAGGGAGGACTTTGGGCTCTTCTAGAACAGTAAAGGAGAGACCTCCAGATCACAGTTCCTGTCTCCTCTGCTGATGTTCAGGGGCTTTTGCAGATATTTCCAGGATTCTAAGACTCTTAGAGATAGCAAGGAGACTTGATCTGCTAGTCTCCACTCTAAGCATCATAAATTTCAACTCTGGAATTTCAGCCTGAAGATATATTGGCAGCACTCAACTGCTGGTCCAATGATGAGGCTGTTTAGCTACAGACCAAGGTTCTACTCACAGGGGAGGAGTTTTGGATATAATTGGCTATTTAGCTTTACAAGTCCAGAAGGCAACAGGAAGTCTGTATCCACAGAGGACCTTATTGGCCAGACCAGACATTCGGTAAATCTGTTCTTTTAGGCAGTGGCCCATTTAAAACAGGCTCCATTTAAAGGCATGCCAAGAAAAAAAAAAAAAAAAAAAAAAAAAAAAAGGTGGCTGTTTCATAATGGGCCACCCTGTGTTAAATAATATTATTCTTCTGGTAGGCAACCCTATACTTAGCACTTTCATGAAAATTAATTAGCTACAGGTACAAAGACCTAAGAGACCCTGTTACACAAATCTCTTAAAACTTGAAATGTGAAAAATCAACCAAAAGTATCTGTTAATAACTTACACACCTCTTTGGAGAAATGAAAGAGCTTTGGTTTACAATCATCTGTAGCATTTGAAATCTGTTTAAGAGGATACAGGGGAAAAAGAGAAACCAACAGTCATTAAAAGTCCAAATTCATCCACAAAAATGATGTAGTTATTATTACTAGGCTTTCAAATAAAAACATTTCAAAACAAAGTTCCAAATTGCAATACAGCCATTACTTTTTCATTAATTAGGAAAAAAATCATTCTTGCTCTGTTTTTTTTTTTTTTCTTTTTAGCTTAAAATAAACAGGAAGAAACTGAAAATGTAAACTATTACCTGGAAAGATTGTTCTATATAATTTAATGGCAGAGGACAAGGGATGGACCATTTTTTAATTATTACCTGCAAGAATAAATAGAATCCACACTCAAGATTATTTCTTATGAAATTCATGACAAGAAAATGATTTCAAACAAGTCAGCATTACTTCAATTAAATGAACTCCATCCCAACTAATAGCTAACAGAAGATTCTTTGCTTCTATGATCTTTTCCCAGTTAGAATGGGTTGTCACTTAACATGGCTGCCTACTGTGAGAGGGAAAGGGGGGTGACGCATATCTGTTTAGTGGGGATCTCCCCCCTTAAAGACTGAGCACTCTCGTGTCAACTTTCAAAACTCTAATAGCATCAAGGCATTAAAAAAAGTACAACTCAAAATGGGAACATAATGCTTTTAGTGACAATGGTATAAGACTATGGTTATTTGTGGACCTGGCATCAGTAGCGATAGAGAAATATTAATACCAGTTCTGGAAATGGCCACAGACAGAAATAAGGAGAGACCCCATACAAAGCAGGAGTTCAGGGATTCCTGATTCAGAAGCACCATCCTCCTGGCTGCTTTTAGACTTGTATTACTTTTCGTAAATGTAGATAAAGCTGGCTAAGAGTAACAGCACGTAGCTATTGAACTCCAGCTGGTACAAAGAATTCTTTTTTTTTTTTTTTTTTAATTAAAAGAAATCCAGAGGGATGTCGCCTCTCAGAAAGAACCAATGCAAATATCTCAGGATTTTACTCTGGACTGTGGCCATCATGCTCCAGACCTATAGTTGTGGACATGTCGACATTACCATTGTTGAGGCTGTTTCAGGGCACGCAATTACTCTGCAAATATTTGCTCCAGGCTGAAACCCAGCATACAGAGGGGCAAGGGAGAATAAAGGAAGCATTTGTCTTTTGCAGGAGACCAGTAAGTAAATACTATTCCTATTCGGTATTTATCTAGTTTGGGATTTTACCCTATTCAAACAAAATTTTATGTAGTGATAAAACAAATTAAGGACAATGTACACTTTTAGGATAAAGTTAATAGTGAACTAAAGAATTGCTTTGAACTCAAGCCCTCACCAAGAAAAAATAAATAAAAGGGTAAACTAAGCAAGTTGCTTTTGATATTTCGGTAAGTTTTCAATATGGAATACAACTACGTAGTGGTCAACTTTACCAAGAGGAAAGAAAAAAAATCAAAAGCAGTAATTTTACATCTTTTTTTTCTGATACGTTTTCAAAAAAAGATGAGGATGGGGTAGGATAGGAGCTAGAGCAGCATGGTGGCTACTGGTCTCTGTCCGCAGCCCTACCCCAAGTTCAGCACCGCACACCTTCCCCTTACTAACAGTGTGTGTGGCAACTGCAACCATGTACTGAACACCTGTGTACCAAGTACTTCGACAAGGTTGGAATGGGAGCTATCTCATTTATTTCATCAGCTTTTATTACTTGGCTTGCAAATCAAAACATCTCATAACAATGCTCTAAAATACAATATAATGAGTTTTTCATTCATTTTCAATGAATTTCTAATTAATGAAAAAAAATCATTGGCAGCTTGGCTTTATATTATTAATATTAAATCGAGCTACTATAGCTAATTTCCCAGTAGAGACCTATCCCACGTCTGAGCCTACATGGTGGGATGGTGAGGTGTGCTGTCCTACAAAGTAGAAGTACAGAACGAGAATAGACACCCAACAACAGTGACAGGGAGCCCTTGCTCAGGCTGAAGGTACAACATGGTAAGAAGGTAACTCCAGGGGTTAGAAAGACAAAGGGAAAGACAGGATTAAGTTCACAGGCACAAAAGACCCTTCCTTTTCTCTGTTTCAAGTCCTTTCCACCTTTCAAGGCTCAAGTTTAATTTCCTTCTCTTCTCTCAATTCCTGCAATTCTTATTCTGAAGCAAATAAATCAATACTCAATTATATATTGTCTTCATTGTTCTCTATTGTTTTCCCATTAATTTTTCTTACAAGAGTGACAGATCCTTAAGAACAGCATCCACAAGTCTATAATGCCTCACTCAGTGCTCACAACAAGCAAAGCTTCTGACTAAAAGCCATCCAAATTGTTTTCTATTTTGATTAATGGCTTACTAAAATACTACTTAGAATACTTATCTCTACTCAAGACAGAACTTTTGGAAAAAATGGCAATCCGTTTGTTTTCTAAAATGGACCCAAAAAGGTCGATCCATCTAGTTACTGTCATTTGGAGCCACTGATAAAACTGACTTTAAAAAGTGTAGATATTTCAGGGAGGCAGAATGTTATGTTAAATTTTTATGCAAAATAAGGATCTGGGACAACAGACAAGGCCATAGTTTTGCTTTCTGTCTGGCGGCAGGCATCAGCTCAAAGGTCAGCCAAGACAGGCGCTTACAAGTACATCCAGGAGCTATGGAGAAGAGCAGTCTGCTGTAATGAGCTTTCTTCTCAGGGTGCGCTGCTGGCAGTATGGCCAGCTCTCCGCGGTCCACAGGGCCCTCACCCAATCCAGCCTGATAAAGCCCCCAGACTGGGCACAAGACCTAGCAAGGTTATGTCATATATCAGATTTGTGTGCGCCACAGTGGTTAAAAACACTCAGTTCCTAAGGGTGCAACCTAGGGCAAGCCTGGCCATCACGGTGCTAACCGGCCAAGATTGGCCCAAAGCCTTTAGTCGGTTGCAGATGTGTGGCTAGACCACTGTGGGGCTCTGAGAGTCCTGAATTCTAACTGGGTTGGCGAAGATTCCACATACAAATTCTTTGAGGTTACCTTCATTGATCCATTCCGTTAAGCTCTCAGGAGAATCCTGACACCAGTGGATCACCGAACCAGTCCACAAGCACAGGGAGACATGAGGGCTGACATCTGAGGCCACGAGAGATATGGCCTTGGAAAGGGTCACAAGTTCCACCACAGTTAGTGGCTCTTGCTGTGCGGCATGGAGGAGACACAATATTCCCCAGCTCCACCATTACTGCTAATGTAGGTCATGTTTGTAAAATTCTTACCTAATAAACAATTTAGGACAGTCATGTCTGCTTAAAAGTGTTCTTTAATTTGTCTGTTAAAATGAGTTGTCTGCAGATTGTTCCATAAATGCACTGTCAAATTATGAAAGTCAAAGAAGGATAATGTTTGAAGACTGTAAGTGATGGTGTATCTTGTTTCTAATAAGATAAACACTTTTGTCTTTGCTTTATCTTATTAGGGAGTTTATATGTGGGTGTTTAAAATGCTGTTTGGACTCAGATATCACCTCATGCCAGTCAGAGTGGCCAAAATGAACGAATCAGGAGGCTATAGATGCTGGAGAGGATGTGGAGAAACGGGAACCCTCTTGCACTGTTGGTGGGAATGAAAACTGGTGCGGCCGCTCTGGAAAACAGTGTGGAGGTTCCTCAGAAAATTAAAAATAGACCTACCCTATGACCCAGCAATAGCACTGCTAGGAATTTACCCAAGGGATGCAGGAGTACTGATGCATAGGGGCACTTGTACCCCAAAGTTTATAGCAGCACTCTCAACAATAGCCAAATTATGGAAAGAGCCTAAATGTCCATCAACTGATGAATGGATAAAGAAATTGTGGTTTATATACACAGTGGAGTACTATGTGGCAATGAGAAAGAATGAAATATGGCCTTTTGTAGCAACGTGGATGGAACTGGAGAGTGTGATGCTAAGTGAAATAAGCCATACAGAGAAAGACAGATACCATATGTTTTCACTCTTATGTGGATCCTGAGAAACTTAACAGAAACCCATGGGGGAGGGGAAGGGGGGGGGG